TTTCGTTGACCAGTTTATCACTGAAAGGATTTCTAGGTCTTCGCTTCATAATGTCTGATTCTGCCTCCTCGTATGCCAGTGAAATGGCTGGGACCTGAACTCGGCCAAACAAACACATGTCAACAAAAAGTATTTTTCGGCGAGCAACTCAGTTCTAATCATTGTTATCCTTTATGTTCGCGTTAACGTAACCTATAGCGGTCACAAATTTAAAACAAAACTTTGTAACATATTTTAAACTCGAATTTTTTTGTTTGCATTTTTAGTTGATTTGAATATTGGAAAATAAAATAGTGAAAACTTATTTTGGATTAGAGATAGAATAATTGTTATTAGGTTTTAATGTCATTTTGATGCAATATTTTTAAAATTTTATTAGTTAAGTGACTTTGACGAGTAGAATTAGTATGTTTTCGATACTTATTCATTATTGACGGAACGTGTAGCATTTTAAAACAGTTGATATTTCGCTTTTTTCTATGACCAAGCTTTTGTAATAAATTTTAATTAAAAGAAACATAAAGAAATACAATTATCACTGGTTACTTGCCCAAAAATCCTTAAAAACAAAAACCAAAACAAAAACCAGACAAAAAATGGTACGGAAGTGAAAGGGCGACACAATAATCATGCCAGCACTACTCCTTGGTCTCTTTCCCTAGTCTTTTTTTATCAAAATCATGTGCGAATTTTTTAATAAATGATTAAGTTCGCTGTATTTCTGCTGTTGAAATCTTATTGAACATTCTAAATCGAATTCAAATCTTAAAAAAATATATATGTATATTTCGTTGATTCTAATTTAATATTATTACATCCTTAGATTCAATATAAATTCAATAATACCTCAACAGTAGAGAACAGGATGGCGTAGCGTCGAATGTAAAATGAGACAGTAATTCCGAAAAATATTCTTAACGATAAAAACAATATTTCTAAGACTAAGTACTGTACCAAGCTAAGTGCTAAGCAAGGCATCTACGCGTTTAAATGGAGGAAGGGAGTGTAGTTGTAATAAATGTGTCAAATGTTATTGTTAAACCAAAATACGAATATACCCAATTAGTAAAACAATTTAAACCCAAACAGATCATCCAAAATCGGCAGTAATATTTGTCAACTAAATTAGTCGTTGAATGCAAATTATTTTTATATAGGTTATATAGGTTTTAAAAATAAGATTATTAAATTGTATGCAGGATGAATCTTAAGTTGATACTTTATTAAATGTGTAAAAAAGTTAAAATACATTTTTTTTTTGAATAACTTTTTAAAAAAATTAAATAATAAGAAAGATACAGAATTGCAAAGTCTGAATCCGGAGCTGGACTTGTGTATGAAAAGTTAGGCTAAATAAGAAGTTTGTTTACATATACTTCAAAGAGGGTATTGAGTAGCTACCCCCCATACGGGTCTTTTGAGACTGCTTAACTTATCAGTTAAGGCTGAATTATTTAAAAAGAAATTGAAAAAAAAAGGAGGAAGGATGAATGGACTAAATACTTATATTTTTCACGCACATTTTAGTTTAAACATTTATACATATTCATTGCTAACGAAAATACTGAATAAGTAAAATTTTACACTTTTCCTCAAATGTTTTCATTATGGTCTATTTTAGAGAAATCGTTCATAAAACAAAAATTATAGAGAATGATATCGTTAACAACTTTTATTTAAAGATTTTTTTCTCCAATCGTAAATAACAGAGATATTCCTTAAAGTAAAAAAGACCTTATAAAGTACCTCCAGATGTTTCGAAATTTGCATGTTTCCTCAAATATTTCGAATACGGTCCATTTTAGGGAAATCAATATAGGAATTATAAAAAATGACATCGCAAGGAACTTTTATTTGAACAATTTTCTTAAAATTCGAATTTTGCACATTTTGGCAAATTTCTCGAATACGGACCATTTTAGGAAAATTATGTATAAGATAAAAATGACATTATAAGTAACTTTAATTTGAAGAATTTTTTTATCCAATCGTAAATAAGATATATTCTATAAATTAGAAAAATAACCCCCTATAAAGTACCCCCAGATGTTCTAACTATGCCCAAAATCTAATCAACTCACCGTAGGATGGATTAAAACTTAAGTTTTAAATTTGGTGTTTTTCTCTTTATTCGTTTTTGAGTTTTCTTTAAAATTCTAAAATTGCATTTTTCTTCAAATATCCCGAATACGGTACATTTTAGGAAAATAATGTTTAGATCAAAAATTATAGAGAAAGACATCACAAGCAACTTTTATTTGAACAGTTTCTCAAAAATTCGAATTTTACGCTTTTTGTCAAATTTCTCAAATACGGACCATTTTAGGAAAATTATGTATAGAACAAAGATTATAGAAAATTATATCACAAGCAACTTTTATTTAAAGAAATTTCTTCTCAACGCTTAAATAACAGATTTATTCCATAAAGTAGAAAAACGATCTTCTATAAAGTACCTCTCCCAGATGTTCCGACTATGCCCAAAATCTAATCGCCTCACCGCAAAATGGATTAAAGCTCATGTTTAAAATATGGTGTTTTTCTGTTCATCTATTTATGAATTATCGAGTATACAGAAACCCATACCAAAATTCCAAATATTTCATAAACCCATACTTTCACAAACTCTATTTGAAGAAAAATCAAAAAAATTTAGATTTGATTTATAAATTTTATCTTCTAAAACAATTTCTCAACCAGGATCTACTAATAACATTATACTAACGTCTAGTAGAATCTATACTACGGTATGGAATCTTAGTATGGGGAGGCCTGTATGGAACTACATTAAATCAGTTAAATGTTATTCAAAACAAAATCTTGAAGTTAATATATAAAAGAGATAGATTGTGTCCCACCATAACTTTATATAATGAAAAAATTAACAATGTTAGATGTTTATATATTCACGCAGTGTGTTGTTATATACAAAAAAAATGAATTTTTAAAAAACCCTTTAGAACATAGACATGACACTAGAACTGCATCAAACATGTGTATTAAAGTACCAAAACCAAATAGTGAGTTTTTTAAAAACAGTGTAAATTATCTGGGGACAAAGTTCTACAACGCTCTTACCTCTTCATATAAAATTATTAAACAAATTATTATTATTAAATATAAAAAATTCTGTAAAGTTAGCAAAATAATGCAAAGTTTATCAGAATATTCCAAGAATAACGGACTTAATACATGGATTTTTTTAAATAGTTTTTTTTTCTGTTTCTTGCATAAATTGTTTTATTTTTTATTAAAAAAAAAATGTTTTTTTTTTATTTCCTTTATAATTCATTAATTTTAATTAAAATAGAATTTTAATTTTTGTCAGCACATACAGGTGTTCTCACCTACGTGCTTGTTTTTATATAATTTGTTTACATTATTGTACTTTATTGTAACTTATTTATTATTGTAACTTATAATTATTAAAATTAAAACTATTAAATTAAACTTCATATACTTTTGTAACTCATAATACGCGCCTACCAAAAAAATGTCCACATAGATAGTGCGCTCACCCTTCACTTTACAAGACTGAGTGTGTTCCGAAAGTATCCTCACTAAACTGATCATTTATTAGTATGAATCAAGAACTACTTACGACAGATTAACCTAACATAACAAAAACTGATAAAACTATACCCTAATACGAGTACAATAAATAATATTGAAAATTGATCACCTGACAATATTTATTAATGTTAAGACTTGAACTGGAATCAAAAATTTCCGGAAAACACATTTATTGATAATCACCATGCAATTGGGAGAACAACCGAACTAATTATTTAAGTTAGATAGGACCGTATTAAATAGATTTTGGAATAAATTAATAAAAGTTTCGTATTTTTGAGTTTTTTTTTAAGTTACACAGTTAAAAAAGTATTAATTTACGATTCACCCTGTATTTATAAGTTAGGAACACAATTTAGATATTTCTTAGATTATTGTTCTAAATAATTCATATTCAGTTGGTGATTGTATTAAAATTTGTTATGTATAAAACTTTAACAACTCATTTCTAATTATATTTCGATTTATTAAAAGTACCATGAAACAATTTTGGAGGTTTAGTGTGCAATAAAATGTTAATATAATTAACTTAATTTTAGTTAACATATATTTGCCGATATCGAATAGATCTTATTTTATTAAAGGCGTTTGAAATTTTTCAAAATAAACAAAATTTATTTTTAACTTTAAAAATATATAGTTCTTGATTTTTGGAATTAAAAAAAAAAAGAATATTTGCTGTAAAAGAGCTAAATATTTTCATACTTACAAAATATGAACAGTAAAAATAGAAGTCTACTTTAATAAAAAAATACATGACCTATTTACAAAAGTGTATATTTTTTAAATACATTTTCTATATGTGTTTATGGTGTAAAAAATTACAATTGATTAAATTTTCATTGGAAAACTCACTAGTCAACCAAATTAAGTCATTCTTTACACAATAAAACATGTAGAAAATGTATTTAAAAAAATATACATTTATATATAGGAAGTCAATACCTTTTTTCTATAGGCATGAAAAGAACGCACTTTTTTTTATAAATTTATATTCTTTTTGCTGTTTTATCCATGCTTATATAAAAGCCAAAAACCAGTAGTATATTCTTTTGAAATTAAAAATAAATTTGTTAATAAAAATTCCAAACTCCATTAAACTTTTAATAACACATGCAACTGTGTCGTTTTTTTTAGTATTCAGGCATCAGAATTTATTATAGCAGTTGTGGATCCATTAGACAAAAATATGCATCGAAATAAGAACGACGCAAATATTTTTTCCAAAAATATATACAAAAATTTGTTATCAGACAAAAAAAATCACCAGGGTTGTTAGTAAACAATAATTCTGATAAAACTGTGTCTACACTCGAAAAGTAACTTATTAAACATAGTTATTAATTTATAGAATAAAAAAATTGTAGAATAAGTCACTTTCAATGAGAACACTATATTAAAAAAAAAAAATAAAATAAAAAATGCACCTATCATTGACAAGTTTATCGTTTTGTGGGTCTCTTGGAGGTCTCTTCATTATGTCAGACTCAGCTTCCTCGTAAGCCAAAGATATAGCAGGCACCTAGGTTTATTTAAATAAAAACAAAAGAAAAGAAAATTAAAGAAAAAGAAAACATGAAAAAAGAAATTAAAACTTTCAATCGTTGTATAGTTGTTCTTAAAAAGTGAAAAAGATAAAAGATTGTTTTAATCTGTCAACAACTTTATTATATTTTTTTTTTGTTTCATTCGAAAAAGTAAAGAAAAGAGGCATGGAAACACATGTTATTAATATTATATTTATGACCTTCCATATAATGATTACACTGGTATTTAATTTATTTTTCAGCTAATTGAAAATACTTTTAATTTCTGTAAAATAATTAGTTAAAAAAATAAAATTAAATATCAGTGTAATCATTGAATGCAAAGACCTTAAAACATAAAAATATTAATAACAAAGCTTATCTGACGGTTTTAGTGAATCAAAATGATATAGTGGATTACTTCGATTTATAAAATTATATTTCCAGTATCGAAACTCGGAAAGAAAAATGACAATGTCAAATATGGTTATCGATTGACAAAACACGGAAAAAATTTGAAATGGATAAATTTATAATAAAGAGAACTATTATAAAATATGAAACTGAAATATTTTTAAAATTAATTTTGTACGCATTAATTTTTAACACTAAAAACAATCCCAGTAAAAATTTACGAAGAATAAATTGACCTCTTTTCTAAACTTCTCGACAATTTCTTAATATGGCGTCGATAAATTGTTTTCATAATATTAAGACCGTTGATGACAGATTGAAATTTGTATAGCTTAGCCTAACTAGAGCTTGAACTTTTAATTAAAGCTTTGATTATAAGAAAATAAGATTAAGAGTTCGAAAAGTTAGCAGAAAAATGAGAAATTCATGAAAACGTACCTTCTTCTTTTGACTTTGTAATCCTTATAAAAATTCGTAAAAAAGTATTGAAATTCTACTAGTTACTGAAACAACTGAGGAAAATGCATGGCATTCTGATAAGAGAAGCTTTAATTTTTAAAGATAATTGAAGCAAAATGTAGTTAGATCAAAATGATATTTTTTCATTATAATAAAAGAAGTTTTTTTTTTAAATATATTTTATTATATTTCCATAAGTCTTCAGTTTAATTTATTTATTTTATATTATACAACACACAAAGTTGATAAAATAAAATGGCTAAAGTTTTGATTTGGGTATACGTAGATTTACAATGATTTGAAGTCCAATTAAAGCTTTGTAGTTATGACAATGCCGAAGACACTTAATCGTATTGCAAAGTAAAAGTTTTGTGCATCGAATTGTATATCAAAAGGAAAATAAAATATATTTGATTATTTTAACATATTGTTTTAAAAGTGTTGTTTAATAATAACTGAAATTAATGTAACTATCAGTTAATAGGTCTTTTCCTTTGCATCGAAAGTGTAGCACTGAGTTACGTTACTTCTGAAAATATTGTTCCATCCATACAATTTGTATAAATGGAACGATATTTTCAGAAGTGGTGTAGCTCAGTGCTACACTTTCGATGCAAAGGAAAAGACCTAATAAATGTAAATCAGGATAATGAAATAGATATTCTTTTATATTAAATTAGAACTGAAAACAAATGGAAAATTAAGAATTCACGTTATACCTGTTTACATTACAGCAACTTTTAAACCTTTTGTATAAATTAAAATATGATTTTTTATAATATTTGAGACCCAAGACATTTGAATACATAAAAATATAAAAACTAGTAAAGTAAAACAATAAATTTTGATTGAATGTGTTTATTATTTCAGGCATATAGCCGAAAAATCATATGTTCCTCCAGTGTATATTATTTTGAATCTATTGCAATGAAATTTCGGTTGCACGTCATCAACGATGAAAATTGTTTATCAAATGGAATAAATCATTGATGTTAGTCATATTTGTTACTTTTCAAGATTGAAGTGGACATATGTATAATTGAGCTTGACAAACTGTCAACAGTATTATTTTTGTGTTTAATAAACAAATTTATTTTTCGATTTTTCAAATTCCTAAGCGAAAGAATTGGTGGGGTCTCTAAAAAGATATTTTAAACAAGAACGAGATAATGGTAGCCCTTTATTATCAATAAATGCAGTCAAATAGCGTTTATCAGTGGAATTGAATTTGAAAATATCGATGGTAGCTCAATTTACCAGGCACTAAAGAATAACCATATTTTAAATTCTCCTCATTTACGATATGTAGAAGAAGAAACAACAAGTAACTTTTGCAAAATGATAGAAAACTTTTACGCAAACAAAAATGTTTATGAGCTGCAAAAGATCATTGTATGCAGTGTTATCTAATATAGGATTTGAATGGAAAAAAGATGATCCCGGCGGGATCTTATGGAACTTCCTTATGTTGCCAGTAAAAGATTTAGGTTTTAAAAGTTATACACAAGTACAAAAAAATCTGTCTCTATATAAATTTGTTTATCTGGATGAAACATGGATTCTTCCAAATGGCATAGTAAATCGCTCTTGGCAAAATAACGATAAAATGAGTGTAAAAAGAGTTGTTGAAAAAAGATTCATTGTTTTTCGTGCTGGTAACGAAATAATAGTTTATGTTACAAGGACGAAAAATTAGTTTTTCGGGCGTAGACGAGAAGCTTGTCAGGTGAGACGTAATCGAGCAACTTTATGAAGAGTAATTTTTGGACTAGTTCGACGGACATGTCCGGCAAAGTAGTGAAAAGTAATGAAAAGTAGACGACTTTGAGCAAGACACATAGTTAAATCTCCATCCTGAATGTTTTTTCAAAAACACTTTGGAACAATATATGCATTTGCATTTTAATTTTTTTAGGTAAATCATTTGCAAAATATTTCCAACCTTTGGATTCTTTGGTAATATTTTCACGAGTTTATTTTAATAAGATATTAAACGAAAAGTCAGCAAATTTGTAATTAATCAACTTTTCAGCAGCTGACTTTTCCAAGTAACCCATCATTAATTTGAACGGTAGCATATTTTACCTGTAATTATTGATTTTAATGATGATAGAATACTATTATTCTGAATAAAGTTTTATACGTTGCTTATTTTTATTATATTAATTTATATTGGAAGATTTACTTCCAAAAGCTTCTAACATTTTATATATAGGTTTTAAAAGTTAATTATTTAAATTGACAAAAGATAGAGTTCAAATCAAACATTAGTATTTTATAAAATGTTTCTTGAGATCCTCGAATTTTGTAACAACGTGGCAACGTCTACTTTCATGAGTTTATGACGTGCAATAAAAATTTCATTGCATATACTATACACAAGAATTGGAAAACAATTTAAAAAAATTGTATCTATCTATTATTGTTTTTAAAACATAAAATGTTGTGTTTGACAAACTACACCGTATCTCAGTTATTTGATAACATACGGTATTTTGGTTTAGACATTCTATGGGCATTTTTTGAAGGTCTCTATAATAAAAAATAAAGCAAACCAATACCTCTTACCACTTTCGAAATAATGACTTTAGTATTGTTTTCTTATGGACGCCATATTGGATTTGTAATATATTAAATAGCTTTTTATAGTATCACATATGAACAAATCTAGTAGGAATGTCAACAATTTCTTTAACTTAGAACAAACAAATCATAGTTTCTTTAATTTGAACTGTCTTTTGTGTTGTTTCCATTGCATTTTATTCGTACATTTTGAATTCGTTAATTGCTTCTTTATATTGTTCTCATTTCAAAAGTATACTAATTTATATTAATGCATATTTGTGTACTTAGTATTGTTTTATAAAAGGGCTTAAACCAGCTAGACAATAAACGTATTTTTTTTAATGCCATTGTTCTATAACTACCGTTAACCACAAGTTTCGCAACCCATGTATATATAATCAAACCTTGGTTGTATTTTTTGTTATTGTTGATTGTCAATATAATTTTACTAACGTGATCCGGCTCGAAGGACCAAAAAATGTGCCGTATCGGTGTTGATTTTAAATTATATGGAGAAGAATGTATATCAAAGATTTGACACAAAACATGTAACTTTATTATAGATCTAAACAAAACGTCACAAAATAATGCAATACAAATCTAATATGCGTCCATAAGAAAAACAATGTTATAGTCATTATCATGTAAATCGTAAGAGATATTCTTTTGCATTATTTTTTATTAAAAAGACCTTAAAAAGTGCCCAAACGCAAAATATCGTATTTTATCAAATAACCGAAATAAGGGGTTTTGATTTTTCGCGAGTATTTCAAAAATCGAAAACAATGGGTAAAATATAATAGCAGTTCTGAAATGGTAATAGAAACTTGAGAAATGTTGCACTTTAAATTGAGATAGATAAATGCTGTTGTATTTCATGTGTTAATGCTATCCTTAATATCAAAATTACCTTAAAATAATTAGTTAAATATAAAGAATAACCCTGTTACTGTAATATATACAGATATATTCTAAAAAGTATGAAATAGACGAATCAATTCTGATCTAATTTCCACAATTGCATGTTCCTCGTACTACTTCTACTTAATCTCAAGTGTTCAAAAATATAACTGATTCAAAGTCAGTGTGCAAATTCAACTTAGAAAAAGTTTTCCCATAATATTCTACATGCTGCTGATAAACTTTCTGATATATTTCTTTTGTTAAACTGTCATCTATACCTTTCGTTTACTAATTTATCTGACCATGGATCACGAGGACGACGTTTCATAATGTCGGATTCGGCTTTTTCGTAAGCCAGTGATATCGCCGGCACCTTTCCGTTCGAAAAATCAAATCAAATAACTGTTTTAATCTGATGCCTTCGAAATATAATATCAGGGGTGAATAAATTAACGGGTGTTCGACTTTAATCTCTTTGGAAAAATGGTCAAATTTTTGTTAAATTTATGTTCAAAACTAAGATAGATTTGAATATTTTGTCGAAAAAATTGGTTAGATAATTGGTAAATTGACCAATAATTATTTATATCGGTTCTGAAGAACTATAAAGCCACCTTCATGAGATTCCATACATTCTATGGAGTTAGTGTAAAGTAAAAAGCCCCTTTGGCTTTCTGTTAAATTTTCTGAATTGTTGTAGAACTCTATCCTTTGACAAAAAGTGACTAGTTTTCGAGATACATCGGAAATTCCACTTTTTTGTAACCACATTTCTCATGACAGGCCTGTTTTACTTGCGTTTGTTGTAGAAAACATGAATTATAGATTATTTGACAATAACATTTTATAAAAAGTTACTGTAGTAATTGACTAATTAAAGGATCGATTGTGCATCGATGCTGCATTGTATAACCGTTCGTTCATCGTTCGTACGATATGCTAACTCAAATACATAATGATATAATGTATTACAATGTCATCAAATTCTCTTTTATATAAACTATCATCGAGTGTTCTTGCTTAGATACAGACAAAGTACATTTAATCTTGCTAGGTTTTTTTTATTTAAAATATATGGCCTTGGCATTGCCCATTGGCCAGTTATCTTGCTAGGTTTGTATGCACATACATAGGCCTCACTTTGTATTAATAATGTAAATAATGAATTTATTTCTATTTGATGATAAGCCAAAGAGATATTAAAAACATCGCTTAACTATTACAGTAAATTTAGATACACATTTTAGGAAAACTGGTCGAAGGATTACAAAATTTTGCACAGTTAAATACTGAATTTTTGATAATGTAAAATTGTACTAATTTATAAAGTTGATGGAGAAACTTTTGAAACACATGGACACTTTTTGCCAAAGCTTTATAACATATCAACATTTCAGAAAATTTGACATAAAGCCAAGAAAGGAGCCTAGACCTTTAAATTTTTAGTCATAAGGACCCAAAGAAACATAGTCTTACAATTATGCCAATCTATTAGTCAGTCATAAGTCACTTCAGGCAGTATGTCAACATATGTTCCTAAATTCAGTTACTTTCTCGAATTTCAATATTTGTATAACATTAATTCCAGTTACATAATGCCATCCATGTATGTCTGACATGCCCTGCATTTGACGCCGTGAAAAATTTGACCATTTTTACCAACAACTTAACACTAGGTATAAGATGACAGACAGAATACGATGCTTACCATATCGGTTCCAAGATCGATGCATAGAATAGTAACTGTACCCAGAGGCAAAGGAATATCGCATAGAATAAAGGCGAGGAAAGGTGAAATTTCGGGAATGTTAGAGGTAAGGGTGTAGGCGATGGATTTTTTAAGGTTATCGAAGATCAATCGTCCTTCTTCCACACCGGTAACGATGGAGGCGAAGTTGTCGTCGAGGAGAATCATGTCGGCTGCCTGTTTGGAGACGTCGGATCCCGCGATACCCATGGCGACACCTATGTCGGCTTTCTTCAGAGCTGGTGAATCGTTTACACCGTCACCTAGGGGAATTCATTAAAATTAAAATAAATTGGTCGCTAAAAGATAATTAATTACAGTTTGGTTTGAAAAATATTATTTTTAGTTAAGTATAAGTATAGTCATTTAGGTTTCATTTCAGAAATTGGCTAAAATTTTCCATCTTTTACTTTCTACTTTGTTTATATGTAAATTTTTTTAATGCTTTTGAATTCGATAGTTATCTTGTGTTGAATTTAAAATTTGTTATTCTTATTTAAATAATACCTGCCTTTTAGTTATAGAATAATTTTAGTAATTGTACATTTGTTTTTTTTTATTATGCTTTGTACTTAATTTATATTTTATATGTATATTAGGGGTTCATAATTATTAAATAAACCTACCTATCTATTAGACCATCAGATAATGACAGATTTTCTCATTTCTGTGATTTTAACCACTGAAAATTATGTAAGGGTTGGGCTCAAAAAATAAAAGATTTAGCAGTCGGACGTGTGCTAGGCATATGGTAAATTCATTTTCCTTTTGCAGAAAAAAATGAGTTTTTTTTATCTCTCGTTTATGGCATTTTAACACAACATATATTTAGCAACCTAAAAGTGAAAAACCAAAGCCATAAAAATCTCAGAGTTTAAACAAAGGCGCGATCTTGTAAAACGATACTTTATAAATTCTTATAGATTTTTATATATTTATATTTATTTTTATAGAATTTTATAGATTTGTATAGATTTTTTTAAGGTGTTGATGTAAATTTTCCGTCCGGAAAATTTTGTGAATTTTTTTCTATACCGAACCATACAATTTAATTAAAAATCCACATGGTCTGGTCTAGGATTCGAAGCCCGTCTGTCTCTGACCACAAACTTGTCTATAAATGAATATAAGCGCGTGAGACTGCTACACTACCGACCCATCATTTCTATCTTATATTGGTACTTTTGTTTAAACACAATAATTTCAATCTTTTTCGAGAAAAACGCAATCGAACAGTTTACAAGTCTCAGACGGGGATTTAAAATTTTTTTATTTCATTTATGAAAAGTGTGCTTTGCAGTCTCAGATAAGGGTCTGGTACATATGTCATTTCTAGTCAGTGAATTATTTTTGTTCTACTTAAACAGCAATATTTTATCAAGGTATATTTAGTCCTCATATTTTGGTCCAAATAACCTACCCTTAGCCTATGTCCAAATCCCAATCACCCTGTATATGTGTTCTATAAATCCAACGAGAATTATTTTGCATTCCCGCATAAGTGGGTCACGCACAAGTTCAAAATATAAAAAAAAAAATAGTGACCACTTTATAAACCTAAAACGGTCCTATTTCCCCTCTTATTTTAACACAATAAAAAACAATTAAAATCAAGAAAATGACTTGTTGCATTGATCGACGGTATTACATGAACGCGACTGATAATAGTAAACACTCCTTTAATTTAACCTAATCGCGGGATGTCCAACCTATTTCAAAGACCACTTTACAGTTATAACAACTAAGTAATTGTATAATAGTCGTACGGGATATGACGCGTGTGGAGATGTCCGCTACAAATTTCAAGGCTATTATATGTCGGTGTCAAAGTGGCAATATCAATTTCTATTACGATACTATTATGTCACATATCACGAATGGAAAATCTCGGATTAATTATTTAATAAATAAATGTGGAACAGGAGATTTAAATGCAAGTGGATAGAAAATATAAAAAATAAATACCTAATATGGAAAATGGAAATGTTTATTTGCCAAGGACGATTCCACTAGAAAAAGGAACTATTGTGTGAGAATTGTGAACAGTAATTTAATATCCATGTTCATGGTTTCCAATATACAGGGTGTCCCTGAAAAGTCTGTAAAGAACTTTAGCACACATTCATTGGGCTAATATGAAGATCTAGTCCGAAAAGTTAATAGTTTCCAAACTAAAGGGTGTCAAAGTTATTATTTTTTATATAGTGCAGGGCATAGTGGCGCATTCGTTTGCAAAATTGTTTTAATTCGTAATTATTTTTTTAAATATCCGGAAGGCTTTCCTGATTATAAAAGTGTAAGATGACACTCGATATCTGTTGATGTTATTGTTTAAACAACGAAAAATTAATTAAGCCAGAAAAAATGCATTTTTTGCAATGAATTAATTTTTTTAAATTCTTTAGGATATTTCGAATAAAAAAAGTCCTTTAATTGTAATGGATGTTTTAAAATCCGAAATTGACGAAAATTCTAATTTTCTTAAATAAAATAATATACCTTAAAATTTAAAATGCTATAATTTTAAATTTTTTACCGAATATTCAAACTATAATAAACAAAATAACCTAAATAAATTTTCAAAATTTTGTTTGTTATGTTTTTTTTTTACGTTATAACAATATGCTTGTGCGCGTGTACTTTTAGAGAGAAGTACTTCTATCTCACTTCCAACTCAATGTATAAGATGGGTAGGAGAAAGCCCGATGACGCGCTGAATCAATTTTTTGCTGTTTTTCAGAGGTAATAAGTTTTAAAAAATTATTATTAACATTTTTCATAACACTTTGTTATATTTGCCGATTAATAGTTTTGTATCATGTGATTTTTTTTTACTTTTTTAGATACTTTCGATAACTTTTTTATTCATTGAAGTTAATAGAAATGTTCCATCCACATAAAAAAATCATTGCCAAGAGCTGTCTAAAAAATAAATTTTTCTCACTTTTTTTCCAATAAGATAAAAGAAGACAAGCATATCTGCCGTAATTAAAGGGAAATTTCTACCTGTTACGGTGCACTCTTAAACTTCACATTAAATGTTAGAAATAATTTTCAAAATTGATGAATCGACAGAGAAAATTGGCCACCTCACTCGCCGGAATTAACGCCTTAGTTTTTATTGGAAACTGTTAAAGAGATAGTATACTCTACATCTGTAAACAACCTAGAAAAATTCTAGATGTGAATAAAAAATTTAGTAAATATTTTAGGGTTAAATGTAGACATGTTGGAGAGGGTGCAGTTTAACTAACTTTTGTTGAGGTGTGAATCTGGATCTCACTCTTGATTATGGCACAGTTTATTGCTAAAGAATCAGTTGAATGTTCCAAAATAACATCCACTCCAGGGATACAAATTAAGGATGCGCACAAGACTGATGTTTGAATATAGTAGGCGATTGTCATATATTGTATTGGTTATGATTTGATTCTGTATGCGCCAGGGATACAAATCCGAGTTGCGCAGTGTATAAACATGTCAACTTAGACACATTGCTGGCTAACTTAAGAGAAATACAAATTAGTGAATTTGGCAGAACAAGTCTTTGGAAGTTGCTTAAGAAAATAGGTTTCAAATTTAAGAAAGAAGATAATAGAAAAGCTTTATCTGAAAAAAAAATAATGATGTTCACAAAAAAATACATTTTTTAAGAGAATACACTCGTTTAAAAGAGAATGGAGCTTCGTTTATATATTTTGATGAATCTGGATATTTTCCAAAGGTGGGACAAAAAGAATATGGCAAGATGAAAATATAAAATCAATAAAACATACTAATGGTGAGGGAAAGCGACACATAATCTTGCACGCAGGTGGAAAGAATGGATTTGTGGATGGTGCAGTATTATTATTTTCCTCTAAATCAAAATCAGAAGACTGCCACAATAACATGAACTCGGATATGTTTATCAAATGGTTAAATGAAAAACTATTACCACATTTAAGTGAACCGTCTGTTATAGTGTTAGATAATGCGAGCTATCACACAGAACTTTTAAACAAACCGCCAAGACAGAATTGGACTGTAGCCAAAATACAAGAATGGCTACGTAACGAAAATGTTGCATTTCCACAATACGCCCTTAAATCTGAGTTGTTAACTTTAGCCAAACGGCATGAACCACCACAAATTTATATGGTAGATCAAGTCATACATAGTTATGGACATGATGTGTTAGGGCTTCCACCGTACCATTGTCAGTTTAACCCCATCGAACACATTTGGGATATATGTAAAACGTATTATGACAATCATATTGGAATTAATGGGTACAGCGACGAAGCAGTAAGGGAAATATGGAAACAAGCACTGGATACATCAACCCCAGAAATTTGGAAAAAAGTGTTCAAAAATGTGATAAATTAAATGACGACTGGTGGGCACATGAAAACAGGATAAACGAAATTAACCCTATAATTATATCCCTTAATTATGACAGCGACGCTAGTGACACAAATTTTGAGAGTGATGCTGTAGATTTATAGGTATGTCAAAAGACAATTATTTATAATAATCACTGTTTAATATAGAATTTTAAAAGTTATGTTATTTTTAATCATCGTACTTACTTAATCGCAGGGTAAAACTGTTTATATAAATTAAAATTTTTATTCCGAATAAACTATTATTATTAAACAACAAAATCATGTAACCATCTCTTTTAAGCTTTCTGAGGCAAAATTAAATACCTAAAATTTATATATATTTTGTTTCTATAAGAACCCCTTGCAATATACAAAATAACGCCACCCATGAGTAAATGTTTAAAATACAACTGACCAGTCAAATCTTTCATTTATTTCTTAATCCGATATGGGTGTAAATTCAGTGAATTACATATAGCATTGTATTTAGATATCCTAGTAGATCAACCTTATGAACGTTTCATTGGAGGCAGTTATGTCGCGACATCTGTTAGAACTGTACAGAACTTCATTAAAATGGCTCGTGTTTTCTTAATTTCTAAATTCATTTGGGTAGACTGTCAAATTTAAATTAATATTGTTTATATTCTATAAAGTGATGAAAATCGTAAATAAATGTTCGTCAAGCATAATTAAACTCGTATATCTCATTTTTAAAGAAAATATTCTGAATCAATTATCGTTCGATCTATTAGTAAATAAAGAAATTACGTTCGATATTCGGTTTCGACAACCGTTCGATGACTCGGTAGAAGATTACAAAATTATCAAAGACATGACTTGGACATCACGGAGCTTGCTGCCATCTATTGATACTGTCCATTTTTCTCCAAGATAATTTTCATTGGTATTGTTCTACTAGTTGATCTAAATACAATGCCAATAGCTACCTAAGAGCTTTCGTCTGAACGCCGCGCTTTCTTGAATTCGTTGGAAACATATTATAGTACACTTAAATTCAACACAAGAAAAAGTCTCAAATCTACATGTTGGCTATAGAACTATTATTTAAAAAAAGAATTTTCTTTAATTTCACTAGGTATTCATCTTTCAATATAAATACGAAAACATGGCCATTTTTAGTAAAGCAAGGTATCTCAAATATTTTATCATAACAGAGTGAACCAATTATATCCGCTAGGGGCATAGCAGCTAAGTCAGATTTTTAAAAATTGTATTATACCGACACCTAATCTTAATCATATTGATTTATAGTTTAGAGCAGGGGTTCCCAAATTTTTTCCGTTCGCAGCGGACTTACAGGTTTAGTATTTTGTCTAGGCGCACTAAGGTTGTCAGATTTGCGAGAAGATCAGCTAATATGACCCCGGGTCTTTCTAACGAGCTTATAATAATAAAAAAATTCTCTTCAGCTTATATGACCCCTGGTCCTTCTGGCCAGTGACTCACGCAAGCGCGGGATTTGAATTGTATATTTTGTAGCTCCCCTGTTTACTCTATACGGCGCACACTTTGGGAACCACTGGTCTAGAGAAAATAGGAGAAGTTTAGCTGCTATGCTCCTAACGGAAATAATTGGTACAAACGAATTGTAAAAAACAAGTTTTACCTGTAACAGCAACTATAGCACCCATTCGCTGACATCCTTCCACGATGATAAGCTTCTGCTGCGGCGACGTCCTAGCAAATACAATTTCCGTGTGATATCTCAATATTTCGTCCAATTGATCTGAAGATAGATCTCTCAAGTCTGAGCCGTGCACCACGGCGGCCTTGGCTTCTCTGGGGTTCACTTCTGATACGGGAATGTTCAAACGTTGAGCGATGTCTTCCACGGTTTCATTGCCCTCGGAAATAATTCCGACGGACTTAGCGATAGCCTTAGCAGTGATGGGATGGTCACCGGTAACCATGATAACCTTGATACCGGCACTTCTACATTTGGCAACGGCGTCGGGTACGGCGGCTCGTGGAGGATCAATCATCGACATAAGACCTACGAATCGAAGACCGTCGAGCGGGAAGTTTGCATCGTCAGAATTGAACTTAAAACCAATAGGATACTTATCTGAAGGCATCATAAAATCACAAAAACCTAGCACACGTTCTCCGAGTCCACCCAATTCCAAATATGCATTGTTGAATGCTTCTTTCATCTCTTCGTCTAGTACCTTTTCTTTTCCACAGATGAAAATTGTGTTGCATCTTTCTAATATTCTCTCGGGTGCTCCTTTCATTACTAAGATATGACGAGGATCGTTGGGGTCTTCGTTTTCGTGTACAGAAACTTGATATTTGTTGGTTGAATTGAAGGGTATCTCGCATACCTTCTTATTTTTGCGTCTAATAGACATTATATCACCAAGAGCTAGTTCCATACATTTGAGAAGAGCAGCTTCGGAAGCGTCACCGTTAACTTCACGTTTAAGAATGGCGACTCCGTCCTGACCTGGTTTAAATTCAGCTCGATTACATAGGGTAGCGATGCGAGACAGAGCTTTGAAACCGGGACTGGTTCGGTCATATTGTACACCGGATTGATCTTCAGTTGTATCAGCTTCAATAATTTGGTTGTCGAACCACATGTGAGCTACAGTCATTCTATTTTGAGTTAGGGTTCCAGTCTTGTCTGAGCAAATCGTGCTAGTGGATCCCAAGGTTTCAACAGCTTCCAAGTTCTTGACCAAACAGTTCTTTGATGCCATTCTCTTGGCAGTGAGGGTCAAACATACGGTTACAGTGGCTAAGAGACCTTCGGGTACATTTGCTACAATGATACCAATAAGGAAAATCACAGCATCTAACCAATGATAACCAAGAATAAATGCGATGACGAAGAAAGTAACACCTAGAAATACGGCTACACCGGTGATGAGTTGAATGAAATGATGGATTTCTTTAGCAATGGGCGTTTCGCCAGTGTCCAAACCGGAAGCTAACCCAGCGATACGACCCATCACTGTATTGTCTCCGCAACTAATAACAACCCCTTTGGCAGTGCCTTCAACGGCGTTAGTAGAGAAGAATGCAAGATTTTTGGTTTCGAGAGGATTTTCATGAGTGAAATCGGGACTCCTACTTTGAGGTTCAGATTCTCCTGTCAAAGATGAATTGTCGACCTTAAAACCTCTAGTTTCAATTATTCTTATATCAGCTGGAATTCTGTCACCAAATTTCACCTCGACTACGTCACCGAGCACTAAATCTTCGGCTCGGAGAGTTAGTTTTTCACCTTCTCTAAGTACTGTAGCGAATTGAGGTACCATGTTCTTGAACGATTCCATAATCTTCGAGCTTTTGCTTTCTTGATAGTAGGAAAATATACCTAAGAAAGAAATATAATTTAGGAATTATACAATCTTAATTTGGAGCTTTCCTTTGATAAAAAAAAATCCGAGGGAAGACAATTTCAAAGTCAAAACAAATTTGATTTTATACCTATAGGTCAGTTCTTAATATTTAAATTTTAACATAGTAAAGATTGGATGTGAGCATGATATAACAGTAAAATCCAATAAAGAGGAAGTTTAAATTATTGGAGGTACTTACATAAAGTTACTTTTGTTTGATTGGTATAATTGAAATATTTATAATAAAATGCAAGATAGTATTTATGATTAAATAAGGTTATTGTAAAAAAAAACTATATTTTAATATTATTAATAAAAACAACCTACCTGTAACGATAACAACTGCAGCTAGTACGACACCAAGATAAAGATTATCATCTGCTGGTTCCTCTACAGTACTAGCCTGTATAGAATAGGCTATAAAACAAAGGATCGCACCGATCCAAAGTAAAAGGGCGAAACCCCCGAATAGATTTTTACAGAATTTCACCCATTCGGGAGTCGTCTTTGGGGGTGTGAGTGCATTGGGTCCGTCCCTGTCCAAATTTTCTTTCGCTTTTGCATGACTAAGACCCTGAAAAAAATTACCATGATATAAAGATGACTTCCTAATGAAATATGTACCGTAAATAACTCTGCGTTTTGACTATAAATTATAAAAACGTATTTTATTATAATTTCTGATTTATTGGAAACTCAAAAATCACTCCCGATTAGAGAAAGATCTAATGATATATTGTTTCATTATTATGTGACGGCATGGTGGAGAATATTCAGTTGCCAACTGATTGTGGTAGAGTGCAGAGCCTCAGTTCTCTTGAATTTTAAAAACACACGTGGTTTTTAGTGATTTCTTAATCAGTTTACTAAGAAGGTAAGTAGCAAAATATTTTAAGTAAAATCTTTATAATATTTCTAGAACATTTTTCTTTATTGTAGATGTGAGATATATGATAGTATTTTGTTTTGTTAATGATTTTAAAGCACTTAGTTGCCATGCAGAAAACTCTTCAGCGGCGGTATCAGCCATTGGTGTGGCAAGTCGTTTTAAACCAAAGGCTAACACTTGGGCCATGCATTGGATTTAGCAAGTTTTTTAGATTAGATATATGTTATATTATTGTTATATGTTGGGAACGTGTACTGTTGTAACACAATTAAACAGTAGGAATCAATAGATGACATAGGGTGTCATCTAATGGATTTTCTGGGTGTCAGGTATCAACGAAGGTGTAAGATTGTATGTTTATGTCTCTTAACCTTTTTTTAGATGCCAAAACAAGACAAAAAATTCTGAAATACACTCCAGAAGCAATGCTTGATGCTTTAAATGAGGTTAGAGCAGGAAAATCTGTTGAATTAGTAGCTCAAAAATATAAAATACCCAAAGCTACTTTAATGTATAAATTAAGTGGGAAGTTGCCAATAGGAAAAAGAATGGGACCAAAAAGTATTTTTACCCCTGAGCAAGAAGAAATTCTGGTAGATTGGGTATTAAAATTGGCAAAAGCTGGTTTTCCAGTAACAAAAAATAGTTTTATGATGGCACCGGAACTAGGTAACCAAATGGTATAAATTGTTTCAAGCAAGAAATAATAAAATAGCAGATAGGATTTATCAGACGTTAACCCGATTTAGGGTAAATGTAACCAAAGAAAGTTTAATTTCGTGGTTCAATGAAGTATTGGGTTATATAAAAGAAAAAGGGTGGTAGAAGTCATGAAGTGATCCAACAAGGGTCTTTAACGCTGATGAAACAGCATTTTATCTGAATCCCAAAGGTGGAAAAGTATTATCTGAAAAAGGCAGCAAGTCTGTTTACCTTGCTGGTGCAAATGACGAAAAAGAAAACGTGACCATACTAGTTACTGCAAATACCGCTGGCCAGATCGCACTTCCTATGATTGTCTACCGGTATATAAGAATTCCACTACAAATTGCACAAGCTGTGCCAGATGACTGGGCAATAGGTAGATCAGAAAAAGAGTGGATGACCCAAGAACTTTTTTCCCTGCACTTATCAAATTTTTGTATTGAACATGGGATTGAGTTGATTGCATTGTACCTTAATGCCACACATTTGATACAGCCCATAGACGTAGCTATTTTTCACAGTGTTAAATCAGAATGGAAACTTCAAGTACAAAATTGGAGAATGTCTCACATGGGAGAAGAACTAAAAAAGAAAGACTTTCCTCAGCTTCTTCACAACACCATTCAAAATATCGAGCTTTCAATAATATCAAATAGTTTTAGAATTTTAGTCCCTTGGAATCCTTATTCCATTAGTCAATGCACCAAATCCTAAATTTACTATAAATCCAAAAACATTTTAAGTTTTCCTGGAAAATAAAATAGGACACGAAAAATTACTGGAATTTAAACAAAATACTGGAGAATGGAAAGATCCAAAGGATGATACATCCCTTTACAAGATTTGGAAGAAAAATAGCACTCTAGTTAAAAAACAGGTAACATTTTAAAAAATATCCTAATTATTTTTTAGGCTTTGCCACAGGATAGAAATGAAGAAAAGGATGAAGAAGCAGAAAATTTAATTAAATGAGGACCGTCCGGGACCCTCTGGAATGCAATCTAAATCTGACCAAGGAACTCGGGAAAAAACAACAGAAAAAGTAAGAAACATGTTTGTTTTATAATGCCATAATTCTAAATGTCTAATATCTTTTTACTTACCATCCTCTGAAGATAATCACAAACGAGACAAACCAGAGAACATTCCGGAAACTGAGTACCTAGATGATTCAACGCTAGAAGGAGAAAAAACTAGAGCCATCAGAAACTGAAATAGTGAAGGTCATCTCAAAAATCAACTTGCAAGTGTTGAGAACCAAAAACCTGCAAATACCAAAAACTCTGATCCCAGTATTTCATCTCCATTCAAGAGAATACTTTTTGGCCAAAAGAAAAACCCACATCTAACAAAAAAATTAAAAGGGAAAAGATACCTTCAGTATCAGCTTCAGCTCAGGCTCTCACATATTATAAAAAAAGGAGGAAGTAAAACAGAAGAAGCTGGAAGAACAAACCAAAAGAAAAGAAGACAGATCAAGAAAAAAAGAACAGGAATTAGAAATAAAGAGAAGCAAGTTGGAAGAAACAAAGAAAAGAAAAGTTGAAGATCAGAAAAAGAACAAAAGAAAGGAAATCAAAAAATCCAAAATAGAAGAAGATAGTGAATCTTCAACAGCAGAGTCACTTCCAATAAGTAGTAAGCGAGTCTTCACAGTGGGATGAAGAATTTGAAGAGGAAGTCAATGATATTTCAATTGAGCCAGTTTTTCTTGAAGGCGACTTCATACCCTGCGAATTTGTTGAAGGAAAACGAAACCAAACAAAGTTTGTTTATTTATGTGTTGTACAAGAAAAGAGCGATTTTGTGCAAGTGATGGGACTCAAATCAACGGACAAAGATAAAAAACAGCTTGTACCGAATGAAAATGATATTTCCTTGGTTACCATTGACTAAGTGATTGGCAAAGTGCCTCAACCACAAATTTTGAGTAGAGGAGAGAGAATATGTTACCTCTTTAAAACGTCAAAGAAATTTAAGATTATTTCAGCACTAGGCTGTTTTCTTTTCACAGCTATTTTAAGAATACTTGTATTTTTTTATCAAATACAATATGAATACAATAGGTGTATGTCATCTTTTGGTAAAGTTGCTATGTCATCTATTGGTACATATTCATTTATGGGTTGCGTATGTTATATATTTTTGTTATATAGTTTTTCACAACAGTTTTTAATTTTAACTCAAGTTTGAATTGTTACTTCTCTTAAGCAAGATTCAATCTAAACATTTATAAGCAATTTGGTAAATTTGGTGTCAGAATGTATAAAATATGATTTTTTCCCCATTAAGACTCATCTATTGGTCATTTTTCCTTACTTAAATCAAGCGTCAATCTTGCAGAGTAATTATTTATGCAGTGGAGCTATTTATTTTTAAAATATTACAAAATCGTTGCTGCCCATATTTATTATTTAATGTATCAATTAAAAGATAATTTAAACAGTATACTCACGTTTTCTGGATGTGTCTGAAATCTTTGATATAATTCCTCTGGTGAGATCTTGTGGTAATCGATATCTAATTCTTGTTTTAAATCATCCAAATCGTCTGCTTTCCTTATCTTCTTTACTTTCCTTCGAGACTAGAGGAGAAAAACACATTATTAGTATTGTAATGAAAAAATATACCTATATTTAAAATGTAAATAAAACAGTGGGACCTAATAAACCAGAGCCAAGACGGAAACATTTTTATTTTTTTATTAATGCCGTGCCAATATCTTATGTAACATCTTGGATAGACACCCATTCATTCAAGTCTCGAAAAATAAATAGCATTTGCCAAAATATTTTCTTCTTAAAACATGATTTACAAATTTTTTAGGTGTAAATACCATAAACTTTGGAAGTAGTTTCAATAATTTCGCCATTTTTATTGGTTTACTAATATAATAATAAAAATTGTATAACAATACTGCTGCTTTATTTTTAAAATGACAATTACATTTTAAATAATTTTGACAATTTAATATATTCACTGAAAAGTACGATTTGTAAACCAATACTAATAAGTATGCACGCGAATACGTCACCGGCCTACACAGTAGTTTAAATCAGACATTAATTTCTGGTTTAAATAATATTTTAAGTTTTAGACCAGATGTCATGAAAGTTTTTAAAGAAATCGTCTTTTTTAGACAGCCGGTTCCAAAAACGTTCATTAAAATGTTAGCCTGATAAACTTTAACGGAGCTTGAGAATGTGATATAGGTATATCAAAGTATGATCAACGTTTAAAAGCTTCTTAAATATTTATAAACGTTCTTATAACCGGCTGAAAGATTTTATTTAGACAAACACACATTATTTTAAATTCGTCATAAAAATTATACAATGCGATAATTAAATTTTACCCCCCTTGTCACTCCTTCAGGTTATTTCTTTTACAATTTAATAATTAGCGAATTAATTTAGACTAATACAGTATTAAATTCCGGTATTAAATTTTGAAACAGTCAAGGTCATGTATCAGATTTATAAAGCCGACATCCTATGGAAAAATTTTCATTGGGAACTTTATTATCAATAATTATCACAAAACAATTTGGAAACCAATGTTTTGATATAAATTTAATTTAATATAAATAATTCTATCCATTAATGTTATTTATTATATTTATTTGAAAACAATGATTCCAATATAACTGCCTCTGCCATCATTCTCCAGTTTTATCCTATTTTTATGAATTTTTTACCAGTTTGTAGATAAATGTACTGTGATTTTTTTAAATTATTGTAATAAGTAACATTTTTCGTTCAGGCAATATTATACAGGGGTAAATCAAAATGTTTTTTGTTGCAAAATTGAGGTGAACAATTTTGTTTGAGGTAATCTCAAATGAGTTTCAAACATTTTATTTTTTGATTCATCCCATTATCTCATTTCTTCTGTGAGCTGCATTTTTTGCGTAGTTTTCCATATTTTTTTGAATTTTACACACATATCTATGCATTTTATTTTTGATTAATATTTTATATTTAAATTTTTTAAATTTATCTTGTTTCTAAAAATTTTTGTTTCCTAATAAATGTAAAAAAATACCAAATTTAACATTAATATAATATTATGTTTTTACAGGTGTTTCTTATACTACCGTTAAAATAATGTTGAAGGAAGGTAAACAGTCAATGGAAACAACTCGAAAAATTACATTTTCCACACCTAGGAAAAGCTTCATCAAAAAAATCAACCGCTACGAATCTCCCTGAATATCAATTGAGGGACGGACATTCGAAGAATAATTTATGATTTTCATATAACAGAAAAATCTCGTGTTACTGTTAAAAGGTTAAATAATAAAATTAAGGAAGATTTAGATATCCACATATCAGAAACTTCATTAAGAAGAGTCCTTAAAAAATTACAATTTAAATGGAGAAAAACACAAGTTTTGGTGGAAAAAAATGAAAATAACAACTTTAAGAGCAAAATATTTTAGAAGTCAAAATAGACCAATCGTTTATTTAGATGAAACATATATACACAGCGGACATACTTCTTTCAAGAATTGGACAGACGATTCAACAAAAGGTTTATTTTCTGTTATTTATAAAGGCCAAAGGCATATTATAGTTAACGACGGGGGGGGGGGGGAGAAATGGTTTTATTAAAAATAGTTTGTTGATATCAGGGACCAAGTCTGTAGATTATCATTTCGAAATGAATACGGAAAATTACGGCAAATGGTTAAGAGAGAAGTTAATACCTAATCTTCCACCTAATTCAGTAATTGTTTGTGATAACGCTAGACAAATCGAGCACCTAATACCAATTCTTTGAAGAATGATATGATCGAATGGTTGACAAAATACAACATACCTTTTAATCCAACAAGTTTGGTACCAGAGTTATATGAACTGATTAAATCTCATAAGGACCGACAAGCATATGTATTTGATGAGTTGTGTCGAGAATACGGCCACATCGCTTTACGGTTACCCCATATCACCCCGACTTGAACCCTATCGAATTGATTTGGGCAACTGTTAAGAATAATGTCAATCAAAGGAATGTTACCTTTAAATTAGAAGACGTAAAACAATTAGCAGAAGAAGAATTTAACAAAATCGATATGGAGGAATGGAAAAAGAGATGCGATCATGTTATAAAGGTAAAAATAAATATTTTGAAAGAGAAATACAAACTGATTTATGTTCGGAAATTAATCCTATCGTCATTAATCCTAATGAGGATTCCAGTGACGAGTCTTCTTCCAACGAAGAATCTGACGAAGACGTATGAACATTATGTATTTGTAATTTACTGTTTACGTTGTTTATATTTACTTATAGGCTATATAAGTGATAAGTATTTAATACCATTTCATTTTAATTTCTTGATAGTTTCGGCCTTTACTTGATGAAAATCCATATTATTAAAATGAGAAAAACCAAACATGGTAGATTTTCACACTTTTATTTAAAGAAATAAAAAATAAAAATTGCAAGACAATTGTTTCCAAGTACAACTTCTTCTTCAAATGTGATTCATTTACATTTCTAATATATATACAAAATAAACTAATTAGTTAAAGAAGGTACTTAACAGAAATATATTCATAAAATTCCAATAAGATATCATTACCGGAATTACCTCACAGAAAACTAAGAACAGGTAAAGAGATTTAATTAAGCTGAGTTATTAATATCTAATTGATCACTTAAGAGGATATTTGAATTTTTAAATCTATTTATTTCAAGTGTTTCTAAATGGTTTAATTCAATGCCTTTATTGTCAAAATGTGAAACAATTTTTGCATAAAAGATTGATTTTCAGATAAAAATATGTTTTGTAGAATTATTTTTGTTTTTAGTATAACTATTGTAATGTTTTAAATAGTTTTTTTTTTTTTGAAAGTACGGCCCGTTTGACCAATATACAATTTTACTACAATTTAATTTATTTGAATAAGAATAATTTCCTGACCGTAACAGAATTTTATATAAATACCGAACGGAAAGCGGTAGAACGGCCTTAACCTAAAGTCGGCTTACTTAAAAATGATGATTTTTTAATTGATTATAGAATTATGTACTAATCATAACACTAAGCAATATGTATGAACAAGTATCATTTACTATTTTCCATTTATTTTATGTCTTAAAGTATACGCGCCCCTGGTTTACAACTTTCTAGGTAAGCTACCAATTCTATTCATCGGTAGGCGTGTTCGTAGCATTATAAATGCGCGTCTATGGTTCTTTAGATTTGGCGTTTACTGTATGGAAGTTAGAAGTGTACATGGTGTATAGCAGAAGGCCTAAAATATTTTCCTGTGGTACACCCTGCAACACTTGCAAACTCTTCGAAAAATCATTTTCGGTTTTTACCTTTTGTTTTCTGTCTGAAAGAAATGAGTTCATTAAATTAATGGCAGTAGTATTAAAACCTACGTAATGTAAAATTGCAAGCAATATTTGATGATTTAAGGTGTCAAAGGCATGGGAGTCATCAGGCAAAATTAAAACGCAAAGTTTATTGTTGTTGAGAGAAGAAACAATATCATCTGTAACTGCAGTTAATGCTGTAAAACAGCTATGATTGGTTTAATGGTAATATTCTAGCAGTATCAAGATTACTTTTTTAGTATTTTAGAAAACGTAGAAAGAATAGTTATACTCTTTAAGTGACTAAACTCTAATGGTTTCGAGATTTTTGGTAGCTGTACCACATAAGCCTTTTTTCCAAATAAGAGGAAATTATCAATGATCTATGTATTTAATAAAAATATGGACTAAATAAGGTATAATTGTTGGGCAACAAAGTATGGTGATTTGTATATTGAAATTGTCAAGGCCATAGGCTTTAGTTTTTATATTTTTAAAAATAATTAGAACTTCATCATCGTTGGTGTTAGTAAAGTTACATTTTCTGCAGATATTAGCTTTAACATTATCCTTATAGTACCGTAATAGAACATTGTCCGGTATACGGTGGTCTCTCGCTTCATTAATTAAAAAATTATTATATTCATTTGAGGACATCCGGAATAACCCAATTATTTATGTTATTAATGTTCCATTTTTTTCATTTCTTTCCACTTTTCTTTAGCGGTACAGTTATTAAATTTTTAATCATAGTATGCTTTTTTTTTCGTTTAATAGCAGTAGATGTTAAGTTACATAATTGTTTGTAATACTCCCAGTGAGGTTCAGATTTTGATTTTTTGTATCTATTATAAATTTTGACCATAAGTCTCTGCATCAATTTTACAGTATCGGTTATCCAGGGTAGTTTCTGTTTATCATTTTTTAAGAAGGACATTTTAGTGGGTGTATGTTTATTAACTAATTTTAATTTAAGAAATTAATTTTTCCATCAATAGTATCTATTTCATAAATGATATCCAACGGATTTAATGTCAAGACTCGAAATTATCTAAATTGATTCTTGAAAACTGACGGTGTGTAATAGTTTTTATATTGGGGATGTTCGTTAATATATCAAATGTACAATAAGTAAAAAATGTCTAACTAGTACCAGATTGCTTTACTTCAAAGTTGCTATATATATAACCAATCAAGGTCATTGTATTAGCAAGTAGGCTCACTGATTATTTGAGTGAGATTAAAAGTGTCACAG